TTTAGAGTTTAGGGTTTAGGTTGTTGGGTTCGGGGGGGTAAGGTTGACAGTATTGACTGGAGTTTGCGGTTTCCGGAAGAAAATGGTTTAGGTCCTGGGTTTTCATGGATGTCCTTCGGAAAAGCTGTGCTCAGGGAGCGCACAGGTGTCTGGGTAGATTGGGGATCGAACAACAGTTCATGAAAGTCCTGAATCGGAACAAGATCCTGTCTGCTGCCAAGCCTTTCTGCCTACTGACAGATTGGCAAGAAATCAGAAAATCCTCGTTGGCACGGCTTGACTGCTCTCAGGGGGTTTGGGGTGTGGGGTTGCAGCGTGCAGGGCTTTGCAGGCGGGCCTGGGGTGAAGGGCAGAATGCAAGTTTGATGTGGCTTACGATGCTGCTTTTGGGCTGTAGGGCAAAACCTAACCCCTTCTGCGACCATTTCTTGCAACATCAGAGGTTTCGTTGTAGTGCTTTTCCGGTACCCTGAATCCTGGACTTCAAATGCCCGGACCCCCCAGCTTACCCAGAACAAAGCCCCTTTTGAGCCAAAATTACCCTGAAGTCCAGAAAAGCGGGTTTAGGGATGAGGTCTTAGTGTCTTAGTGCTTCGGGCCAATGCGAGTGAGCACAAAATCCTGCCGACAATACGAGACTGAAGCACCGTAACTGTCCGGGGTTTCATGTTTGCACGCAAGGTGACGCAAGCTTTAGTATCGTACCGTATCAACAGTAGTGGTCATAGCAATAGCAGCCGTGATAGCCAACATCAGTTACAGCCTTTTACGACCCATGGCGATAATGGCCACAGGACGAATGGCCTACTAGTAATAGTGAGGACATGGGTCGCGATAACAGATCATCATAATGACACGAACAAGCATCGCGGCAACCACCGGTGCTGCAGAGACATTCATTCCCCCCAACCCTACACCCTAACCACACTCCTTAAGAAGGCCAGCAGGATCCAATCCCTGAAGCTTCAAAAAAGCCAAACCTTATTTCTTGTTTGAAAAATCTTAGACCCCGAGACCCTCAAGCAGTCCACGGGTAAAGCCCTTTGAACATAAGAGAAGAAGCAGCAGAGCCTTTGGTGCCATATAACTATTCTATTATGCCACCCAAAGCCGTGTCCCAATTATTAAGGATTAAGGCCCCCCAGTCAACCTTCTAGTAACCCTTTCAAGGACACCCCTAATGACCTTTGTCAAGCACTGGTGCCCCCCCCCCCTTTGTTCGGCATGGTTGTTGTCAAGCTGCACTCCGAGCTCGCTCTCGAAGGCTTTCAGCGCGACCTGGCAGTGTCACCGTTGACGGCTCCAAAGTTTCAAAGACTTTGGGGCTTTCAGGCTTTAAGGGTTTAGGGTTTAAGACTCATGATGGTCTCCAGGGTTGAGGGGCTTAGGGCTTCAGGGCGGGCTTTGAGGGTTTAGCTTAGGCCGGGACGGTAGTAACTAGTTCCAGTGGGGACTTCAAGTACACTGAATGCTGCTTCCTTGTTTCATATCGGCCTTCATAACTAGAACAAGGCATTGGGCTTTGGGGTATTTGTTATGATCAGGAGCCGTAAGGAATATGAGGGAATAGTCTCACTAAACCCTAAACCCTGAACTCCAAACCCTAAACCCTAAACCCTGTACTGGATCCTTAGACCCAAAGCACAGCTTGCAGCCTTACGGTTTGGGCTTGAGGA